ATCACTTCTTTGTAGCTGCAGATGCCCACAAATAAGATCCAGTTTTGGTTGTCAAGCCAGTGTAGGGCTACAGCCAACGTCTGTGGCTGAGGAGGGCTCACCTTTGGTGGGGTGTATCTCCTGGAGCTTCACGCTGTTGTGTTGTCGGTCATAGTCGATATTTCAGACCACAGGATGAGTCTGCTGATGTGATTGGTTTTCAGTCAGTAGTGGGGTGATAACAAAAGGAAAGTTGCAATGAGTTGTAATATACTGTATTACTGAAATTTTATTAGTAATTAGTTACACTACTCATTACTGGGGAAGTAATATTATTTCGTCATAGTTCTGCATTCAAAGCTCATGAAACACAACAAATTAGCACCTCAGATCTCTACTGACGTTTATCCTTCATACAGTTTGCAGTGAGGTTTTATCGGGACAACTTTTACTTTATGAGACTGGGAGAACTACCCCTGCTCTGGCATCAGGGCTGTGTGAAGTCAGCCAGTGCACTCGTCTTCCCTGCCTTCCTCCACTGCTTTTTTGTACTTCCCACGCACTGTAGCTTAATCACAAGGCTCCGTGTGCAGCGTTTTGTGTACGGCAGGTTTGTGTCTGCCTCTCACCCACTCACTGAGTCTCCCAAGGAGATTAGATATACGCACACCTCCAGACTGGGGATCCTTCCAAACTTTCTGAATACTGTCCACTATTTGCCCTTGATTGGCGTGCTCTGCTGAATACAGTGATATGATAAATGTAGCTTTTGCCCCCCTGGTGAATAATAAAAAAGCAGCGGAGGCAGCTTTGATGGGTGACAAGTCGTGATTGTCTCATTTGTTTGATGGAGACAGAATAGATATTGTCGCAAGCACTTGTTATTAAAGTGGGTAAATGGAAAGAAGGAGGTTAACCAGAGAGTTTGTGAAGGATAGATGATAGTTCAAACAAAAGAACTGCCATCTCAGATTATTTTAGAGTATAATGGCTGCCGACACAAAAATCACAAAAATAGCAAGTGAGGTCGTCAGCACTGACAAGTCGGTGTGTAATACTTTTAGTGACGCACAGAAGCAGAAGGAAAGGAATGTGTTTCAGCCCCAGGATTTCCTCAGCGTTAATGGGACAGTTGTGGGTGTGAGCCCTTGAAAGACAGCAGCCAGGAACCCGGTGCCGCCCCTGGGCATAGGAAGTACAGGCGAATGCGAAGGGTGCCGTCATCCACAGGGGGCGCCACAAATGGGGGAAGAAAAAATCAAAATGTTTATCTTTTACTATTTTTTTTTACTAATATTATTACTCCTATTATTTTTGAATATTACATAAGGCCACAACAACATAACTACATAGCAAAGCCTACTAAATAATAGACAGGTGTTTTTCTGGTGTTTGTTACACTTTACCTGCTCTCTGTGGGAGATGGGTGAGTTATCCAACATCATGTGAACCCTGAAACACTCTGTATGTTATCAGTTAGGGTGTAAATCAGTTGGTCACTTTTTATAATGTATTTTCTACAAAGGTTATGTACTGGTTGAGTTTACTTATGGACATACATGTGTTTTCCACAGTGTGTAAATCAATTGGTCACTTATCTGTTGTTGCAAAAACATGACATGATATGTGTCCTCACCTGACACAAAAATCAGACACAGCTTTGAGAAAATTAAATAGATTTTCTGTATTTTAAAGGCTGATGTATTGATGTATGTGATTAATTTAGATTAATTAATCACAGAGCATGTATTAGATTTTTTTTTAATTGCTTAACAGCCCTAGTAAAAACAAAACATGCTGATTTGCCCGTGTTGTCAAAATGAATCAAATTTCTATCATCTATCCTCACAAGAAAAACAGTAAATTGAATCAGTATTTTCTTACAAGGGTGGATGATAGATGAGGAGGCTGCAGATTCCCAGGATCTATAAGTACTGCCACAGCTGCACAAACTTGGTGAGGTTGTGCCTACTTTTCTTTTTCTTGGCTCCCTGTCTTCGTTTCCCACTCCCTATAGCAGCTCTACAATTAAAACAAGCCTTTAACTCACAGCCCGATGCCTGTATAAAACGTCTTTGTTCTGCTGCCACATCAACAGCAGCAGTGGTGGGTGGAACACATCTTAAATGATTTTTCAAATTAATTATTCCTTCTCCCTGACTTAATCAGCGTGGGAGAATAAAGGTGTTAAGATTTGGCAGGCTTGTCTTTTGGAAAAGCATTGTTCAAGCAGAAATTAACTGCCTATGCATCATTTCAAGTCATATAGCCACGAGTAGAGACATTATAATACATGCGTAAGAAGACACTTGTTTTAAAATGTCAAAATGCACAGCATTTATTGCAATATCATCACAAACGTATTTAGCAAAAATCAGACACAGCTTTGACAAAAATAAATAGATTTTTCTGCCTTTTAAAGGCTTCATACTGTCACAGTAAAGTAAAAACACAACATCCTGATTCGCCAGTGTTGTCAAAATGAATCATTTTTACAACCCAGACGTTACACAGCCGCTCAAACGGCACGAGCTGGAATGTTAATTACACGTCACTGAATAGCTGCTACCACATTCGAATAATATTTCACCCTGTTTTGCCCGATGCGACGATACAATGTGGTGGTATTACAAAATAAATATTACTTAAAAACTCTCTTACAATGTGACCAAACTGCATAACAGGCTCCGTTATCGTTCTTGACCACAGCACACAATACCAATTAAATGACAATGTGAAGGTTTCCTCTGTTGTGTTTTCATTAATTCAGAGAGCTCATAGTCTAAAAGGCACTTTAAAACTCAGGCCTCACAGCTACAACATGCAGTCATTAATGCTGTATACACTGACATGCATACAACATGACTGTACTGTTAAAATCATCTATATTATATCATCCATCCAGCACATCAACTACTTTACCCAGCCATCATTGAGGTCAGAAGTTATGCATGAATTTTAGAAATTCAGCCATTCAGCTCAGAAGGGACGTAAAATTTGTTACACTTAAATCAGTTTTTTTTTTTTTTTTACACAATATAATATACAATACTGACTTGAGGTAATGAAAATACTCTTGGTTTTACTCCTGTGTTAATACATTACTGACCCGACCAAACATTTAACAGCATCAGAGGATGTTCACACTTAAGATGTAGCTGTCCTCTAGTGTTAGTCCACATGTAAGACCTGCTGATCCATCTGGGAGTGACAACAGGCTCCTGGGTCCTGTATGTTGGAGGCGGGGCTACACTCTGGTTCACATTAATATGTGCCGTCAATGACACAGTTAACAAATTAGTCACCATAATGTCCATGTTACAGGCTAGTTGACACAAATTTACCAGTATGCTACAAAAGAATCTCATTGGTCACTCTCTGCAGAAGAAGACGGTTTTACACAAGCCGTTACAACCCACACACACAACCTACAAAAGTGGTTGGATTGATTCTTTTTTTAAGGATAAGACTGGCGATATTCTACATGTTTCAATGAACAGATTCTACTGGCATTTAATGCCTGTGTAGCCGAAGTAGATGACACTTCTGTGCCTTATGGGGCTTTCACGCCGCTGCATGACAACTCACCACTGCCAGTCATGTCAATGAGGAGAAGGCGGCAGAAGGGTATAAAATGGTTACCATCCATGTGAAAGTGCACAGATTTCGCTCTGCTACGCTGAGCTCACCGTGTTGAACTTCTGGCGGTAGCAACCTTGCTTTAGCTGATCAAACAGTGGGCATCACTGGAAGCAAAAAGAAGACAAGATGTAGTACCCGATCATGTCAGTGTTTGAATATTGGGCCTTATGGCGCTAGAAGCTTATAACAGCAACCAGAATTAAAAAAACTAGGCCTAGGATAACATTTCCACCAAATTTTAGATGATAGAATATGTAGAAATCTTTGGTAATTTTTGTGATTTCTGCTGTCTTGCTACAGAGTGCAGATACAAGCAAGCCTGTGCTTGTACCATTGCAGCTGTGGACTGTAGTGACAATACTGCGTTGTGGTGTACAAGCAGCTTAAGACCTCTACTGTTGTCCAAAAACTGTTAAAAATACCTCTATGAGTTGCACTGGCTGACATGTTCCTTCAATTCAATCAATCAATTTTATTTATAAAGCCCAATATCACAAATCACAATTTGCCTCACAGGGCTTTACAGCATACGACATCTCTCTGTCCTTTGGACCCTCACAGCGGATAAGGAAAAACTCCCCAAAAAAACCCTTTAACGGGGAAAAAAAACGGTAGAAACCTCAGGAAGAGCAACTGAGGAGGGATCCCTCTTCCAGAATGGACAATCTCATAAACATGGGCTCTGTTGTTTATTTTGATTTAATGTCCTGCTGCTGTAAATATCAGCTTGTGTACCAAATCTGCTGCTGAAAGTCCCCTACAGATGCACTTTTAATTCCTTTTAAGGAACATTTACTAAGAAAACTGCAGTGCTCAGTCGACTAAGGAAATGATTTAGATTTGTTTAAATAAAATAATTTATTTGTGACCTATTTTAAGACTTGTGTCCTGAGCAGGAATGAAAGAACTTGGGGCTGAGTGCCACGGACATGCTGGGAAAAGGCCCTGGCTAGATGGTAGCCCTAGAAGAAATATCCCTGTCTCATTAGGTTTAGGCACAAAAAGCACTTTGTTAGGGTGAGGGGAAGATAATGGTTTGTGTTACAATGATCACTTGAAACATGGAACATTAAATCTCGTGAAAGTTTTCGCAAATCTGAGGTTACCAGCTAGACAAGACTCTGAGGAAAGTATTCAGAGATGGACTCGTGTGTAGTTTGTTTTGACCTCTCATCTGACAGTATGAAAATATAGAATATCACCAGCCTCGTCCTCCAATAACTAATTAAGTGAAAAGCTCACTCTGATGTTACACCAACATCTACTGAATCTACTGTCATACCGCCTTTCTCATGAATGTTGACATCAAAGTAAGATGTCAAATCCAAACCACCTTCAGCACTAAAAAGTACCCTAACTGTCTCTGAGAGTGATTACCGTCACGGGCCAAGTGGCTTGTTGGCAGGTGGCTGGATGTTGTTGGTTGTGTTGCAGTTGTTGTCGCTCCTCACTGCGCTGTTCTCCATCCTGAGGGAGGAGGAGTTGAGCGGACTCCTCTTGAGGACTTTGTTGGCCAGAAGGTTGCAGGTCTTCCTGTACTGGTGCCGCAGCAGCGAGTAGACAAATGGGTCGCTTGCTGCCTTGCTGTAGGCCAAACATTTGGACAGCACGCCCCAGTGAGGGTTTATGGGCCACGGGGAGAAAAGCTCTACAATTCTACATCAAATGAAGACAAAAAGAGAAAATCAGTCACACGTTATCCCTGAGGAAAACGCAAACCAACTCTTAGTAAGTGGAATGTAAGATATCTAAAGCGAATGACCCTCCCCCAGTGATGTAATGTGGTGAAAATGTCATCATTTCACTTCACTGAAATGTCACCACTGTGCTGGGGAATGTGAACTGATGGGTGTCAGTTTCACTGCCTCTGGATTTCTTGCTCGTTAAATTCATTTTACAACAAATCCAGTGCTTGACACTTCCTTTGTCCTAATAAATCAAAGTGAAAACCAGCAGGAGCCTTGTTTTGTCTTTAATCTGTCTTCTTAACGAGAGTGATCTCCTTAAGTCTAACATGTCTCACCACCGCACGCCTCCTAATGTTTGCACAATTCTAACAGCTTCTGACAGGGTGCCACCACTAATACTGGGGCTAATACTAATGAGAGCCAGTGATACCATCACTGACTCATTTGCTATCTCCCTCTGTCTCACTCCCTCTCCCTCTCATCTCCCCAGTTGTGGAGACTAACGACAAGGATTAGGAATGTGTGTGGAACCAGTAAGCTGCGGGATAATGAAAAGGAAGCAGTTGAATATGTTTAAAATGTTACCAGATAACAAGACAGCACTGGAAATAATTATCGCCATCTGTGTTCAGGCGATAAGGCGAGTGTAAGCACATTAGCAGCAGCAAGGTAAGTGAAAACCCAAAATCACTCTGTCAAATCGAGAGAGAGTCTTGGGAGAGTTGTTCTACTTGTGAAGCAGAATGAAGAAGATAATTTGAATCTTTTTCTTACAGCTAAGTGAAGACAAAATGTGCAGAATTCAACTGTAGTTTAATCTCACTGATGCTGAATGTAAAGCATTTCTTTTCAATCTTGTGATTCAAAAGGAAGGACGCATTCACATGTTTGAGGATACTGTACATGTTGTTAATCACCTCACACATAAATCCCCATACACAATACTATCAATCTCTGCTCACCTTGTGATGACATAAGGGGTGAAGCACACCACAAATGTGCCGATGAAAGTACTGATCTTCTTGGTGGCCCTCTGCCTCCTCCGCTTCTGCTCATCCAAGCATTTCTGCCGCACACTGCCAAAGCACACAGGCACAATTATCCACCCGGGAAGCATGATCAGAGACACGCAGACATAATGAAGCAGTCCGCAGAGAAAACATGTGGGATGGACAGGAGGAAGCCAGTGAACTGTGCGCCCTGTCTCTGAGGATTGCAGTGGAGAAATTTCACACTGTGCGTTTATCAATTATGTTAATGAAGGGTTTAATTATTTGACTAAATCGGGATGGATGGCGGATGATGGGAATGCGGAGAATGAGGAAGGCCTTGGTGACCCTAATGAGACATGATAGTGTAAACACTGACTGCAGGCGGGCTCAGCAGGGTTTAATCATCATCAGTGGAGCATTTTAAATGAATGTGTGGTCCCACAACATATACTGTTATACAGCAATTAGATAAAAGTCTAAATTTGACAGGAATCCAACGTGACATTTCAAATTGCTTGATTTTGTCAAACAAAAAATTCCAAAAGAACAGACAGGAGTTGAATTAAAATGATATAAGCAGCAAATCCTCAAAGTGGAGACATTTCTTATGAATACATTGATTATGTTTTTGTCCATCAACTGACAGCAACTAAGAGAAAACCAACACCATCATCATCCAGTGCAGATCTTCAGGCATAACCACACTTTTAAGCACACACAACGTCTTAACTGCAAATAGAGCATGCTCTGATTTTGCCACAGGATCAAAATGTTCCTTCTGCTCACCATACTGAACAAAATGAAAGGGAACAGACACAAGCATTTCCGTCAAAGACAAATGGATTAGACTGAGTACATTTCTAATGACTGTTTACCTCGGGTGAATATCCACAAGCAGCACCAGCGTCTGCATAGTGATCACGTCGATGCGTTTACAGTGAAACCTTGCAACTTTGAGCACTTTCAGGTACGTTACACACAACACGATCAGCGTGAGGAGGAAAGTGAGGGAGTGCAAAGCCACGGTGAATATGATGAACTGCGTCCCGGCTCCCTTGGCCCTGACACTGCAGAGAGTGCACGATGCGTAAAGGTGATGGTACCCGACCCAGGAGCGGCAGGTGGCCACTGTGGAGAAGCAAAGTGAGTGAATCCACGTGTACGCCAGCGCTATCACTGCGTCCCGGTGCCGTATTCTGGAGTGGTAGCTGAGTGGGAACACAACAGCCACCCATCTATCGATGCTGAGAGCTGCCATGCTGAGCATGGAGTTAGTGGTGAGAAAAGTGTCGAGGAAACCCACAATTTGGCAGAAGCCGCTGCCTCCGGGGTGGCCCGTGGTGATGAGCCCGATCAGAGTTAGTGGCATGTTGGACACGCTTAGCAACAGGTTGCAAAACGTCAAGTTGAGAATAAAAAGAGCCGGTACCTGTTTGCGGATCTCTGGGTTGTACAGAAAGCAGATCAGCACCACAACGTTGGACAGCAGCGACACGATAATAATCCCCAAAACTAAAACGGAAGCAACTATGTCCGCTGCGTCCATGGTGCTTCCTCTGAAATATCCAGACTTTTGATAAGTGCATCCACAGTCCTGATGCGAACTGTCATCGTGAGCTGCAGTCACAACATATATGAGTCCCATACATTGTCATGCTTACTCTCCCCGGGCTCCAAATGTCTTCAGTAAACGCAGCGGTCCCTCCAACAGCGTCCACACTTCAGCCGCAGGTAATTCATAGAGAGAGAAAGCTCGCCTGGCTGTTATGAGGAAATTTGGGAGTCCGTTTCATGGGAATGGGGTCACAGCAGGAAGCTTTTTTTTTCTCGAGAGGCGCTGCGGTAGTTTTCAAGCCCCCTTACTGCCTCTGGTCTCACAGCTCAGGGTTTCCTGGCTGCGCAATTGCGCATTGACACGATGGCAGCTTTGAAAAGGGCATGAAAGTACTTCCAGCTTTCAGTCTCTGTGGCTCTGTAGCTACTTATATTGTCCTCTCTGTCAGTCTAAAGCACGTTGGTGCACCCCAGTTCAAAAATAGCCTTTTGATGTAAAAAATAGAAGCACGACGCACGATTGCGTAGCTGGTGGTAAGGCTGATGTCACCAGCATCACGTTGAACACATGAGATTATTTGTGCAAATATTACACATATAAATCAAGTTCTTGGGTGTTAAAATAGCACAGTGTAACTCGTTAATTGATAATTATTTTGTGCAAGTCAGTGCCTGACAAGGTAGAATCACCACTTTTTAAATAAGAAAAATCTCAGCAGCAAACACTTACAGTTTAATCCACTGCTTAGGGAGCATTGCGACATAGCAGGGAGACCCAGAGCCTCATCAGTGCAGTGTTCAAAGCCTTATATGGCGCTTCACCTAAATGGACGCAGTGCAGCTGGACTCCTCCATCCAGATTATTATAGTGGTCCAGAGTACAGCAGCAGCACCACAGCCTCTGGTTTACAGCAATACTCTCTGTGTACAGCCTCCAATATGGTACAGAGGGAATACTGTGGTGTCTGGCCCATGACCTAAAAACATGCTGGTGTGTGTGTGTGTGTGTGTGTGTGTGTCAGTGAAAGTGGACAAAAGGACCAATATTGCTGTCATTTCTGCAGCAGTGGTGCCTACACCAGGATTAAGATAAACAGGGGTAATAAGGTCATAAAGTATCTTCTACAGTAAGAGTCCTGTATTTAAACATTTTACATTAGTGCAAACATGAGAACAAGAATATGAGCAAAATGCCGATGCTTCGCCCCCTGCGATGGGCCCCACCTGCTGGCAGCAGAAAAAAAGGGTGGTTTACGAACTATAACTTAATCATTAATTAATCTAATTCTGTGATTAATGTGTGACATAAAATTGTGGTTGCTACTGTTATTTATGTCAGTGGTTGGATATAATTGTTTTAGCCTCATGCTACACACGGTAGGCCTACCTTTAACTTCAGCTAACGCTACAATGACGTCACAAGGCTAACGTTACTCCTCCATAATATTTGCTAAATATAGACATGTATGCAGTTAGCTAACCTCTCTAAAATTACTTTAATACTTATCTCTAAAGTTTACCTGAAATAATGGAAGCTAACTTTGTTAGCAGCGATTCAGCATGGCCAAGCTAGGTGTGAAGTCCAGTCAGGTTGCAGGTGTTTCGGATTCAATTGCGACCATGTTAACTGGCGACTTTCAGCCAGAAGTGTCTGTGGTTGCCGTAGTGACAGCAGCTGTTTTCAACCAAGAAGAGAATATGTAGCTGTCCTTGCGAATGCCTCTTTGTTAATTTTTTTTATTACAATATTAAAATAAACGTATATTAGAGAACTATTCAGCCATTTTAAACGTAAAAAAACCAGAAGATTTTCACGAGATTCGAACTCACTCCATAATATGGCACATTTTTATTTACACATGCACCAAAGACGAAACTGTGGGCCTATTTAGAAAATGTATTAGAAATATGAGTTAAATTTAGGCCTACAGGAAAAGCAACTTGTTCCCTTCTTGTTTTCAACATTACGTCACAACAAGTGCGATTCAAAACGCGACTGAGTGTTGGTATGTCACTGGTTTACTCAAAAAAGAGTCCAAAGACGAATAAGATTGGTTATGTTTTGACACTGTAACGGAAAAGTGAACAAATAGGCATTCACGAGGACAGCTATCTTCAGTTTGAAAACAGCTGTTGTTGCCAGTAAGCATGGTGGCAATTAAATCCAGAACACCGGTGTAGGTGGGCGTGCCCAGAGCTCGTCTACAGCTCCGCCCTCTCATCCAAATATTTGCATGTCTGGCTCCAGAAATCCAAGATGGCGACGGGCAAAATGCTAAACTTGAGGCTCCAGAACGGCCGTCCACAAACCAATGGGTGACATCACAATGGCTACGTCCTTTATTTTTACAGCCACAGGCTGTGTCCAGAATCACTCACTACTTACTACTATATAGTGGACTATATGGTGAGTACGCCATTTTGTAGTGCCAAGTGCCCAGTGTGGGGGCAAAAAACACCACTGCGCATGCCCAAAGCCCTGTTGCCTTTCTGCAATCTGATTGGCTATTTTTTATATATACTACTATTGACGTCATTTGCACGTATTTGGTGGACGTTAGCATGAATATGCGGACTATCTTCAACTGTACAAATGTTAAACAATAATATTCAATAAATATGAAAGCCTTTTGTAGAAAACCTGAGAAACACAGTGCCCGCACCAGCCGTAGGATATTATTATTATTATTGCCTAAACCAAACCTCGTGTAAAAATAATCGTATTTATCGCGGAGTGGTTCTCTAGGTAAAAAGTAGCTAACGTTAACTGCTAGCTTGTCGGAGAAGATGCTAACAGGTGTGTGTGTTGTATTTGGAGATGGTACCCGGTCAAGGACAGACTTTCAGGCTCTCAAACATCTCCCCGAGAGGATTACTCAACATGAAGGCAGCAGGACAACGTGGTGAAGTTGGGCAAACATAGCTAGCAGCTACCCAAACCGACAGCGCATACAAACGGGGAGTGACCAGTTCAACGGCTCCTTGAGAACAGGTAAGTGGTCAGTCTCATTATCACCTGTGTGTAACTGTTGGGGTTTGCCTCTGTCCAAAGTAACTGTTAACGTTACTCCTCCATTTTTCCACCCCAAAAGACTCCCCCCCACAGATTGTATTATATTTTTAGCTTTGTGAGTATTAGCTATGTGCATCCATGTCTGAGCATATTTTTTTAACTATAGATGTCAAGTAAATGTAGTAAATTAAAAAGTACATTTTCTTCTGTTTAGGAGCATAAAAGGAAATTCTCAATTAAAGTCTAAGTAGGCCTACCTGGAAAACAATCAAACACCACTCCTGTATAATACTACTATACCCAAGTATAGTGCTTGTGTAACTATACATAGTCACATCCCACCACTGATACAAACACATCATACAGTAGGTGGCTCTATGCAGTTCCCTGCACATGTACCCTTCACAATAACCTTGCTGATAGCTGAATAACTGATCTAAAGCATGATGCTTCAAGCAAACTTCATGTTACTCTGCTCTGTAAAGATAACATGATTCCCTCTTTTGCATTACAGGCCCTGTGTGCATGTAGGGCTGCGGTGTTGCTATCCAATTGAATTTTTCCACATCTGCTGTCAGGCAGTGATATTGATAACTGTGCGGATAGTGAAGACCTTGAGAAAATACTGTTTCCAATATAAAAAACCTAGCATTTTTTTTATGGAAGACAGGATGCATACTGAGATTTGCAATTCGTGCCAGAAAGTTGTCAAGCAAACGTTGTCAGACATGCAGTGGATGGTGTATTTTTTGTGATTCGCCCAAGTCGAAATCTTCTCAGCACAGTAAACTGCACTGATCCAGTGGCCCAGTAGATTAGAAGGAGCTATTATTTGATCTAGGTCTGGTGTCATGTCTGAGGCAGAGAGTCTGCAGATCGTCCTCCTGATGGGAGAAGACGTCAGAGATTGACTGTCATCCGAGACAGTGTAATGTGCTGTGGTAGTGGGTGGTGAGATCTACAGTGTTTAACAAAACAGAACACACAGACTGAGCATTTTTATGTAAAGACTTATGTATATATGGCCGTTATGCTACATTAGTAATATAGCAGTTTCTACTTTCACCTATTCTTTAAATACAAAGTAGACTCATTTACCACTGTCACAGACCACCATACGTTCCAGCTCTTTAAAAAATTTCAATTAACATGCTCAGCGAGACCTCCCAGACCTCATTTGCGAAAAAATGATTTGCCTCAGATTAGTTTCGGGACCAAAATCGTGGATGTGATCTATAGTGTTTAATTGAAAGAGATCTCTTTTCTGTCTGGCTACAAGGATAAGAGAAACCAGTCTATGTCTTATAACAGCGGTCACATGTGCAGCTGTCTAGCCATCCTATGAATTATCAGTAATGACAAATTGCCAATAATGGCTGCGCAGATTTTCTAATTAATTCCAGAGAGGGAGAGAGAGAGGAGCTTTTCACTTCTGCCCTTTCCACATAGTGAGGGAACAGACGGTGAGACTACATTGGATTTTTTTTTTACACAGCATCAGGTCTCTGCAGTGCTCCTCTAAATAGAATAAAGTTCAACTTCATTTGCCCATAGACGTCAAGTTAATGAGGTGAAAGGTTACAGCTAGACACGACCACACGTATAATCCTCCAAGAGTCTCTGCAGACACCTGCAAATGTGTTTTTGTCTCAAAAAACCCAAACAATGATTGTCAGTGCTTTTAAAAACATTTGTTTTACACAAATAGGCAAATTATTTTTTATTTCTGTCTTACATGACCTATCTAGAGACCATTTATAGTGGAGTTTCTGCTGCTGTGATGGATTTTCATATATTGACAGTGTGCAGCTCAGTGCTGTTTGTGTTTGCCTGGCTTGATATGACTGCCTTGTTGGTGACTACTTGCTGGTTTACCTTTGCTGCTCTTGCTGCTCAGATTCAGTTTATGATGGGATGTGCATGAATTATTGGCATTTAAGGCTTTGGTATGCAGGCGAGGTCTTGCTGATGGCTGTTCAGTTTGCTGTGCTGCTAAATCTCTATGTATCAATAATTTGCACTGGTATAAATAAGTGGTGTAAGTTCATGGGGCAGTTGAGCTAATTTATTGTGTTGTTTTCTAGCAATTGCTTACTTTGACGCTAATGAGCATAGTTATGAATCTGAATACTCCTGTGTGGGCTGATTAATTTTAAGCATATTTTTAACTCGGCCATTTTGAGTTGTTGTAGAGGTTTTCTGTTTTCTCATGCTGTCTCTGACTGAATCTGATTTCCCCGGCTATTTGGGGGCAACAAGCTGTAAACACAAGACTGACATATTATCTCACCTGATAAATTTGTTATTGTTTGGTGAACATGTTAGCAAAAAACGTGACCCAGGAAGGACTCAGCCAGATGTTTCTGAGTTCTCGGCTGAGATGGACGGCATTGGGCTGCAACGTGTGTCTTTTGGCATTCATTTTTAAGGATTCTGTCATTCTACAGTATCCTTGCTTCTATAATTTATTCATGAAAAACATTTTCCAAAACATTTGGCATGTTTTATGCATGTTTGTCATCCCGAGGGGTTTGGATCAACGAGGTCTTGTCTATTAACTTTTCTTGTGGCAATTTTTCTTACGCCTGATAAAGTGCTGTGACCAAAAAGAAAGAAAAAAAAATCTGAATCCCAAAATTGAAAACCAAATATTTAACAATTCAAAACATCCTGGTCCAATTCTAATATTTACCCATCTAGCCATCTAGCAGACATGGAGCAGCATTCATTTTGAGTCGTGTCAATATTTACCCCACTCTTTAAGCTTTGTTTTGGACTCCATCAGCACCTGAAACAAACTGTCTCACTCGAGCTGCTAAATCTTCCATTATGTTCATCATCTATAATTGCCCCCTTTTCTGCAGTTTGGTGCTGGTTTGGTAGTTTACAGCCTGGTGGTGTTAGAAATGTGGTTGAAGAGGGAAGAAACGTCTGCTCTTTTTCTGTCTTAAGAAGCTTTTCTAACCCGTTTGAATAAACTGAACATAAAGGGTGGTCATTGCTCCTGAAGCAGTGCCATTTTAGAGGTTACAGTTTACCATGGGCCTGCGACAGTAAGCTTAATGAGGCTTTTAGAGACCACACGATTTGAGCCTGTTCTCACATGCAGTTGCATGTTCTGCAAACAACACATCAATCAGCCTTGTCTGTTTTGTTTAGTTGTATGAATTAGCTCATTTAAGCTGACCGTAACATTTATTTGCCTGCTTAGCCGGACATCACCTGTGTCTACTTGCACAGTTGCAGCTTTGTCAACTTGCAGAAGCAGTTTCACCTTCTGTACATAATATTGTCAGAGAAGAAGTGTATACAATGCATGTTATGCAACTGAAACAAAGCTCATGGTTGTTTACTAGCTGTGAATAACAGTGTGGCTTTATGTCTGTTTATTAGACATCAGATTCCAATTTGTTTGTGACAGCTGAAAATTCAAAGTCTTACAGTTTGTATCTTCATCTCTGTTTTTCTTCCTCTGTCAGTATCCCTCGTCTACACCTATAAAGCTGAATTTACCGCGCACACTCAGCGTGCTCCTCTCGTTAGACGCAGACCCACTTTCATCTTACTGTAGATCTGAAGGCTGAGGTTTTCCTATTGGCTGAACCTCAAATGACTGGTTGTGTCTTGGCTGTACATAAATTCTCGCAGCGATTCCAGGCTCAGTTAATCACGCTTGCCCATCTGCTTTGATGTCCTTCCTCTGGTAATGAGTGTGACATCGCTGTACACAAGCATGACAGTAAGCAGCTCCCAGTAGGTTTTTTTTTCTATAAATGAAGCGGGGACTCTTAATGAGAGATCATGATGGTTCATGTCAGAACCGTCACTCAGCATGTGTGGTTTGTCTCTAAATGTGATGCGTGTTCCTAAAACTGACTGATTTTATTACATTATTATCTGGCTTCTGCTAGTAGCTTCAAAACTGTGTATGTGTATCTGTAACTTTCAGTTTAAGTGGGAATAAATTTCGACAAGGACAGAAGTCACAAGAGTTTCCTTCACAGCTGCTATCTGTCAGCTCTTGATTTTATTAAAGGAACAAGTCAGTTATCAAAACTTCCTCATGAGCACAGTAAAGCAAATACCATACGGTGTGCATGTTGCAGAGCGGCGCTAGCAATAGATGACTCGTGCCTGTGGCTGAATAAACACGCCTGGCTGCAGCCCCAACTGGCTCATGCACAATTTCCGAGGCTGTCTTTTCATATTATTCTTTGTTTGTCTAGTGCTTGGACAGCAGTCTCACTTCTGTAGAGTAAGCTCCACATCCACATGCACGGCCAAGCTGCTTGTCCTGTGTCATGATTCATACTTTCATACGTCACATGAAAGTATGAAAGACCAGAGGAGTGACAGCGAAATAAGCATGCAAGTATGCATTTTAGTCTCTTGAGGGGATGTTTTGTTGTAAGTGCACGGTCTGTGAAAGCCAAAGAAGCACACGAAAAATCATTCTGTCTAAGTGCTTAGAAAATAAATCAAGGGCTCTCTGTGGGGCCTCTTTTTGTAGTATATAATAAGTAGATAATGCAGGTACTCATACTTATTATGCCAGTCTTGTTACTCTAAGAAAAAGACATGATGCTTCTGCAAAAAAAGGTTTTATTCTAATGCATAATTCAGCTTGTTCGAGCCTAATTTGAGTATTTCATCTTTTTTTCTCTTTACTGCTCCTTAGCTATTTTAAAATTAGGGAAGCATTGTTCATTTCACACCTATTACATAAAATCAAACGCCTCCTGAAGTGCAGGACTGACAGGCTTCTGAGCCTTAAATTAGCATAACAACCTTTCCTTCCCCTGGCTGAGCTGGCTGCCCTCCCTACAAGAGGTGAGATCTCTGATTGCAAGGTGTCGTCCACACACTCGAAGTTATCAGCAAAATCATAGGACCATAAAATGAAGTCTTGATTTGTAGGAATTACCTCTCAATGCCTTTTTCAGTTGTCAAAAAATAAGGGATTTTCCCCCTTATCTCCG